TCTGGTTAGCCATGCCGTGTTAACTGACCTCAGGGAAACAGAGGCCTTGTTCTGGGGTGGAAAGTAGTAGATGTTGAGCTGGACTTGCTACTGTTATGTACAGCTCATGTATATGTATAGAGCTATTTGTATTTATAAAGCTCAAGCAGACTAGTAGAGGCTTTCTCATCTTTGTCGTCTTCCTAACGTGGTCTCCAGTTTATGTTTGTCTAAATCCTTAAAATCCACAATTTTGGGGGAATCACAATTGCTGTTGCTTCAGGTTGTAATTACAGTCAGTGTATTTAACTCAACCATTCCTCAGCTGAAGTGAACTTAGCAGTTCTTATCCTAACGTTGATGGATATGAAAAGCAGAGGTTTACCAGCTTCTAGCAGCTGTTTGTAAATTAAGAGAGTGCTGTATCTTTTTGTCCATTCCTGGTCGATCTTTATTTTCCAGACTAAGCAAATCCAACCCGTCCAACCTTTACTTGCTAAGCTGAGCTCTCTCTGTCTGCAGGTGAACCCTCTGGGTAGTCCACTTAAGTGAGTGCATCCAGCTCACAGGAGGCAGGTAAACCCAGGTCCGTACACTGTGTTTTGCCTGTTCCTGACTCTGTCTGCCTTTACCATCGGCTGCTCCGTCTTAGCAGCCCTTGTTGCTTCTAGGTGCCAGAGGAGGGCCAAGGTATGTACCCCCCAGGCTTGTTTTTCATTCCCAGGGCATTTCTGCCGTTCCTGTCTTAATGGACCCCTTCAGCTGACCTTGGAGTTCCAGCTTAAGCCATGGCATTAAATCAGCTCTTTTTTAGCAGCCATTTCATTCCTCCATCAGCAGCTATTTCAAACAGAGGACCCTTACAGCATGGGCAAGTTATGCACCTCCAGACTAACGTCCAGGACTTCGTAGCCTTTGCAGTCTGTCTCTTTGCGTTGGGCATTATCAAAGCATTTGAACGTCTGAGCCCAGGAGGTCACTTTCTGTCTATTTCTGGTCTCAGCTGAAGTGTAAGGAGATGGTTCAGTGATGGGTTTGTTTTTCTTTCTTTCTTATTAAGGCTATTTCTTCATGAAATAGCAGAATGGAAATAGTAACTCATCAGCCATCCAAAAAAAAAAAAAAAAAAAAGGTCTATTTAAATAGCAGAATGGAAAAAAAATACCCCACCCCCAACAAAAAAAAAAAAAAAAAAAAGGTCTATTTGTGTTTCTTGCTGGATTTATTTCTACCTGGGACAAGGCGTATGTGTGCTTTTGATGTGGCACGTGGATCTCAAATGCTTAGTCCTTTAATAGTACGAATAATCATCTGCGATCTGCTGGCAAAGGTCAGCTTTGGACCAGCACATATTTGGAGTTCCTGTTTGAAAAGTGTGAGCTGCTAATCCTGATCCTGGTGCAGCAAGTCTGCCTGATGGAAAGGTCAGTTTGCCGTAGAAATCTGGGGTTTACTCAGGTAGGATTTTTCAAAAAAACTTGGTGTGACCCTCCGTGAATTGCAACTACGGTTGTGAGAGCTGAGGAGTTGCTTTTCTCCTCACCATTTAATAACTGTTGCTCATGCATGCCCCTGTGTGTGTTGTGCAAACACAGCGTGCATCCCCCAAAGTGAGTGTTGGTGGTGACTTTAACAGGTGCAGGTTGAGAGTAGGGAGGAAAACTCTTCATGGCAGGTTACTCTGTTTTGATGTTTTCTTTTGCAGCATCTGTGAGCATCAGCCGCTCTCCCAGGGAGGATGCTGAGCCAGGTGGACCAGTCTGAGAGTTCCTCTCTTCCCGGTGCTTTTGGGATGGGTCCACACACTGATAGACTGGCAAAAGGGAACCCAGAGCACAGTGACTTTAGTCTTCCTTCCATTTGCACCCAGCTTTGGTTTCTCTTTCTTCTTTCTTGTCCCGTTTTCCTGCCTAGTTTCTTCTTTTTTTTATGCTCTGTGGTTTTGGCTGTCTCTTCCCCCTTTCCTAGCAGTGAGCGTCCTGCTGTCTGAGCACCGTGCGATGGGGCAAGCTGGCCTCTTCTCAGGAGCTTGCATGGAGCTGTAGCAGGCATCAGCGCAGGTGTGGCAAAACCGACGGAGCTGTTCTCAGATCCTGCCCTTTTACTTCCCAAAGTGGAAGGCAGCGAGCTGCCAGACGAAGTAAAAAAAAAAAAAAAAAAAATCCATTAACGATATTTTGCAACTAAGACCTGTAAGCACTTGCATAATCGCAATGCGTGCACATGTCATCAGATTTATAGGTGTTACTTCTAGGCCTCGTTGCCTAGTTCTGGTGGCTTTATGGAAATAAATGAGCTAGAAATGGTAAGTTGTTTGTACGGGGCCTTCCAGCATTCGTCAGTTTTCGGTCCGCTCTTGAGCTGTCTGGAAACGTGTGCTGTCTTCTCTAAGTTCAGCTTTCACTCTGCCCACTATTTGCTTGATTTTTTGCTATTTTAGGAACGTTCCTAAGAAAAAGAAAGCTTGTTCTTTGCTTTCTACAACCTTTTAAAAGATGGTAAGTGACTATTGCTGAGATGAATTTCAAGTCAGTGTTCAATCTGATCTCCCTAGATGCAGGGTTGTACTGTTTGCAGCTCTGTCCCCAAGTCTCTGAACTTCTGTTGCTTGTCAAATGTTTTCTCAATTAGGAAAGCAGGTTGTATAAGAAAACATGTTAATGAAAAACCATGTTAATGAAAGCTCTTGCCCCTAGAGGAGCCACAGTTTAACACTTTAATTTGGTTGGGGATGGCTGGAGGGTTTAACGTGATCCAGGGTGTTAAACTCTACTGATGGCTGGAGATAAAAACCCTTTTAAGCAATTGTATTTCAAACAAGGCCTTTTCCCAGGCAAGACTGCTGTGACATTTTGTCCTCTAAGACAGGTAGAAGCTATGCTTTGGATCTCTGGCACTATCTTGTAGCAACATCAGTATTCGGGGTCCCTGGCGAGGCTGAGCATAAAGGCTGTGTCTCCCGGTTCCAGAGCTGTTACCGGGATCACCAGGACCGTTGCCCGCACTCCCATAAGACCTTGCCCTGAGAAATAACAGGCCTTACTGCTGTACCAAGGCTCGTTTTCAGTTTTTTTAATGGTCTTTGCTTTTGCAGCTGGCATTTCCTAGGTGTGCATTCTTAAAGACCTGCAGCTAGGCACCTTGTTTCGTGCTGAAGAAGGGAGCATCACATTGCAGCCCTGGCCCCGATGATGGCTACCTGCCTTTCCTTTGCCGCTGGTTACCTTTAGGTGTTGCTATTCCTGACTCTCTGCTCACGTTGTCCCGCTTGCGTGGGGAAAGACGCCCTTGGCCCAAATGCCTCGCCTGAGAAGAATGCAGACAGTCTGGCAGAGCGCAGGTTAAATAAAGTTTGCCTTGGCAGGGCCCATGCTCTTGGATGTACTATGAGCTGCCGGGGCGTAGTGGTGACAGAATTGCAAGCACGAACACCAGCTGCCAAGAGGAATGGGTCTCCTGGCCCTGCTTGTGGACTCCTCTCCTCTGGGACTCTTGAAGTACTGGCAAAATCGCAAGGCTTCTCCCTACCCCAACCCTGTCCCGACGCTCCTCTGTTTCCTCCAGAGCCTCCCGCTGATGAGGACGGTGGCAGCAGGCCATCACCGTCAGTGCCGCACTGCTGGGTCCTGGTCTTGCTAAATTGATGGAGACCCTCCTGTTGGCCTCTGTGGCGTCAGGGATTCGTCCGCTGGCCTCTCCTTATTCTGGGGGGAAAGATTTTAGGCAGTGGCAAGTTTGACTGACGGCTGTGGCTTTTGCTATTACACGGGGAAGTGATTTCACGTCTGGGAAAGAAAGTCCGCATGATTGATTTAGAAGCTTTCCCTGGCCAGCACCTGGGTGGTATGGACACATCTCCCCCGTGCAGACTGCAAGCGCCTCCGAGCCCTTTTGTGGAGCAGCATTCCCGTGGCCTCGGGATTTGCAGGTTGTTACCGTATAAAGGGCGCAGTCTTGGCCCAGCAGGAGGGCTGACCAGCAGTTTTGTTGGCAGGTACCTAACTTTCCTTTTAATAGATGTGCAGCGCGGGGTTTTGGATGGGAGTGGCGATGATTTCATTGCTTGCCACTGGTCGACGGAGCAAGGCTGGACAGCAGGGAAGCAGGGGTGTGAGAGGAGTGCAAAGCAGCAGGATATTTGTGCCTTGCCATCCTGGGAACGTGCGTTTTGGCCTCCAGGCGAGACACCCTTGACTCTTTTGGTAGCAGAGGGACTGATGAGAGGAGAGGTGGTTGCCAGAACATGCTCCTGTCCTTCCAGTCAGTCATGGGGGTTGTTTTAGAGTTAAAACACCAGTTTTGGTGTTTTTTCCAGCTCTGTCTCGGCTTGTGCGCGGACGTAACTTAGGAGGTTAAGGCCAGTCATATCCCTTAGCTGAGCTCCCTTTAGGGACCAGTTACTCACGTGGTTTCCTGTGGGCAGCAGGGCGATGGAGCTTTTCACGGCTTTTGCTTTTCCCCTGTCAGTTTACATATATGTTTCTGTGTATAAGATAGGGAACACATACCTGTTTCTGGTGCATGGGGAAACTCAGCTAATTAATACTTGTGAAAATGTTGAAGGTATAGACTTGGAAACTGTATGTTAGCTTACCCAGCAGGCTGATCTTCTCCTCCAGGGCCTCTGATCGGCAGAAAGCTCCTGAGTTGGTACCAAGCCTGACTTTTCCTGACCTTTCTCCCTCTCTCTTTCCC